AGTATTGATTCCAATGGGAAGTATTGATACCAACGGGAAGAACTGATATTAACGGTAAGAGCTGAACATAAATCAAAATGAAGAGATAACTCCTCTCCAACTATATCCTAGAACTGAAAGGGTATAAAAGATAAATCAAGTTATTTATGACAAATTAATTTAGAAGAAATCAAAACAAAGCTTTACGTTTAAAATAAAATCCTATTTATATGATATCTTTTTTAAAGCAAATTAACGAGTATGATTGAATGATCGAACGATGAACAGAAAATTGATGAAATTTAATGATTTTGAAATTGAATTTATTTGCTTTACTTTATATTTTACAGATTTGGCACTGTGAACCAGGTTGATAATGCACAAATTAACAGCAATTTCTCCTCGTAGACTTTTCTTGTGTCAAACTATAAATTATTATTTATAAGTCAAAGTTTACGTTTACGTAAACTGTAAAATGGCCCCACTATCCAAGAACCCGCATTTTTCAACCAGAGATACTTCTGAGGAAATACGGTTTTGTTTGGTGGAAATACAGTGTGCAGGTTCACACCATCAGGTTGGAAAGATAAAAACGGAATTAAGTGTTTGCCACAATCTATGCAATCCAATGTCGTAGAGCTTAAGAATACTTGAAATTATGAGTTCTGTTATATCAAATAATCTAAGTTTGACATATAAAAAGGTTTATACCATCAGGTTGCAGAAATATAAGAATTTGAAAATTAATAATTAAGTTACTTTTTCATTTTCTTTACAAAGTAGAGAAGCTGCAATCAAATATAATACTGTATATAAAGGAATGCGAGTCTTTACCACAAACTTAAATTTTATAATGCCAAAATCTTTGCAACCTGATGGTGTAAAACTTTTACATTTTAAACTTTTATTATTATTCAATCTAACAGTTTAGTTAGAAATCCCTAAGGTCTACGCGATTGAGTTGCAAAGATATAGGGATTAGTAAAGCAGAGTTTGGTCGGATAAATAAATATTAGTTTGCGTTTTCTAGTTTAAGTATTCGAAGTTTGAAAGGTTTGAAAGGTTGATATAATATGTAAACGACTGGAACTAAAGGAAGAAAACTTGCAAACTCTTTTACAAGGTTTTGGCATTGGTATCAAACTTTTCCATTCTGAGTCTCACTTTTAATTTAAAGTTTATAATCTCTAATCCATTACCATAGATTCAGGGCCCCGGAGCTCAACCTAACTAATTTTAATTCATTTCATCTAGACCGTCATTGTCAAGTCAAAGTAGATTGAATTTTAAATTTTAATCTGGTTCAGCTATTATCTGCATATTGGTTAAACCAGAAAATATATATTTTTGGTTTAAGGTACTGTATACTGTGCCCCCATTAATGGTAGCCTTGAAATTTTAATGTGATAATATGGAAGATTACGGCGTTTTTTAACAAGAAACATATTAAATTTTGTTAATTCTCCATAAAATAAATTTGCAAGTCATTGACCAAAACAAAAACATGGATATCTAATTATCTGTATAGTATGTTGAAGATAATTAGATAAATATTATAAAGAATCGAAGTTACCGTTAAGCGAATAGGATATTCCACTCTATACCAATGGAGTGTCAATTGACATAACGTTTAAAGACCCTTCAAATAACCGAAAAATAAAAATGAAACGATCTTATCCGTATATTGATCAATAAACCTTTTCCATTTTAAACTATTTTTTGTCCAAAATTGTAAAGTTTTGACGGATGAAAGACTTGAAAACAAAACAACGGATAAATATTGATGTTTTTCAACTCACAAATATTTATGTTTAAATAAAAATTGAAGAAAAAGTTTAATATTAAAATAATAAAAATCTGTTTACACAACAAACACTTGTAAACTTACACACACTTACTTTCGTGTTTCTTCTCTTATTTTTCTCTATTCAGATCAAAGAATTATAATGTAAAGATAGTTATTTCAGAGGTGTACGCATTTTTAGTACTGCAATCTACTGTCTCTCTGCGGTAATGTAAACACAAGACGGATGTCACAGCCTGACATGGGATCCAAAAGCAAAATATCAGCCAATCTTTGAAAGAATTGTAAAAGAAAATAAAGGATAAGATTCCTTGTCTTAGCCAACTACTTGTATCGTTGTCCAAATGTTGCAAACTCGCAAATAAAATTCAAATCATTCCTTTTAAACTAGAAGCATAGGCTTTAAAGTTATACAAATGTACATGTCCAGTACATGTGAGTTAATGAGGCAAAATAAAAGGCAAAGGTGTTGCGACGTTTTACAGTCCACCCAGTCTTAAAATTCATTTAAGGCATTTGAGTCTTTGCCACATACTAAAATTGTGAAATCCACATATTCTTGAAACTGGATGGCGTAAACCGTTTCAAACTTAGATTTTTTGATCAACTATCTAAGTTCTATGACATTGGGTTGCCAAGATAAAAGGATTAGAAAATTTGCTTTTGTGGCAAAGACTCAATTTCTTTTTAATGCCGTTCAGATCTTTGTGAAGCTTAATCGCTGCACCCCTGTAACCCATCTCAATAGGTCCTGGTTATTAAACCTCTCCTCAATTTATAGAGTTAAGCCTCAATTTAAAAGTTTGTCCACTGGATTTTGAGTTCTGAATCCAAGCGATAAACAAAGGTTTTAACCTCACATTGTTGTCAATTTCTCTTTACAGAGACATCAGTAAGAATCTGTAATGATGCCGATCTATTACTGATGTAAGAAAGCATCAATTTAAGCCCCCTCTTATTAGTTTAAATACTCCTATTTCTTTTCAAATTGTGATAACTGTCTCAGAAATTATTGATTAAGGAGAAAGTAATTGAGTCTTTGAGTCTTTTTAAACCTAATGATGTAAACCTTTTATATTTTAAACTTAGATTAGTTAATCTAACAGATTTCATATTGTATAAATAAAAAGTGAAAGACATTAAGGAAAAACGCATAAATAAATATTTGGCCTTTTATTTTTATGAGACAGTTAAAATAACCTAAATCAATAGATATGTTTAAGCCTAATAAACATGAAAAATATACTGAATTGTTTAAAAGCTTTAAATACTTCAAGAGGCGACTGTTCGAAAAATATTTATAAATACTATAAAAACTATAGAATCTTTTCTCACATTCTTGGTTTCAAGTAAATGTAAATTTGTTTCTATCGTAGCAAACTCATTTGATATATATGATTTAAAGTATATTAGGCAAAAGTAAATTAACCTATAGCTCGTTATATTCAGAGAGTTTTAAGTTTATATTAAAATCTCAACCTTTGTGGGAAACCCTGAAGCTACAGTTTAAATTAAGGTGTTCAAACAATTGGCTTGTCAAGGAAAAAAATGTAAATATTCTTGCGTAACGTGTATCTATTCTTTTCTTTTTTAGTATTTTCCGACATTTTTAATCAATTTTCTAATCAAAAAATGTTTCTTTTCCAATAATAAGTATGTTACATTTTTATATATTTTATGTGTTATGTATGTTATGTATGTATTTATAACTATAATTAAGCATTCTTTATTCACAGATTACACAAGAATGTTTTTATGTTTCTTGTCATTCTTAAAAACAATGATAAAACAAAAAATACCATCAGTTCTTGTTGATCTTGTGCTAGTTCTAGTTCTAGTTCTAGTTCTTGTTCTAATTCAAGTTCTAGTTCTATTTTTAGTTTTAGTTCTCGTCTTATTTCTAGTTCTAGTTCTAGTTCCAGTTCTAGATCTAGATCTAGTTCTAGTTCTAGCTCTAGTTCTAGCTCTAGTTCTAGTCCTACTTATAGTTCTAGTTTTAGTTCTAGTACTCGTTCTAGTTCTAGTTCTAGTTCTAGTTCTAGTTCTAGTTCTAGTTCTAATTCAAGTTCTAGTTCTAGTTCTAGTTTTAGTTCTCGTCTTAGTTCTAGTTCTAGCTCTAGTTCTAGTCCTAGTTCTAGTTCTAGTTTTAGTTCTAGTACTCGTTCTAGTTCTAGTTCTAGCTTTATTAATAGTTCTAACTCTAGTTCTAGTTCTAATTATAGTTCTAGTTCTAGTTCTAGCTCTAGTTCTAATTTCAGTTCTAGTTCTAGTTCTAGTTCTAGTTCTAGTTCTAGTTCTAGTTCTAGTTCTAGTTCTAGTTCTAGTTCTAGCTCTAGTTCTAGTTCTGGTTCTGGTTCTAGATATAGTTCTAGATCTTAGTTCTAGATCTAGTTCTAGATCTTTTTCGAGTTCCTAGTTCTAGTTCTAGTTCTAGTTCTAGTTCTAGTTCTAGTTCTAGTTCTAGTTCTAGTTCTAGTTCTAGTTCAAGTTCTAGTTCTAGTTCTTGTTGTAGTTCTAGTTCTAGTTCTAGTTCTAGTTCTAGTTCTAGTTCTAGTTCTAGTTCTAGTTCTAGTTCTAGTTCTAGTTCTAGTTCTAGTTCTAGTTCTGGTTCTAGTTCTAGTTCTAGTTCTAGTTCTAGTTCTAGTTCTAGATCAAGATCTGTAGGTCTAGTTCTAGTTTTGCATCTAGGTCTAGTTCTAGTTCTAGTTCTAGTTCTAGTTCTAGTTCTAGTTCTAGTTCTAGTTCTAGTTCAAGATCTGTAGGTCTAGTTCTAGTTCTAGTTCTAGTTCTAGTTCTAGTTCTAGTTCTAGTTCTAGTTCTAGTTCTAGTTCTAGTTCTAGTTCTAGTTCTAGTTCTAGTTCAAGATCTATAGGTCTAGTTCTAGTTTTGCATCTAGGTCTTGCTCTAGATCTAGTTTTACCTCAAGCTATAGTTTTAGATATTTCACAAGTTGAACACTTAAAGGTGTGTGGGGTTTGCGATATTCTGAATAAGTTTCGAACAAACCAATCTTATCTTGATGAATTAAACGTCTTTTTACTGTTAATTAGTAGAATACAAAAGTCTAATACATCTTTCCAATTTTAAAAAATCTAAAATTTACTTTGAAAAAATACTTTTAGAAATCAACTAGACTGTTATTCCCAGCAATCTAGTGAATAAACTGAGGATAATATTTCAGTATGTTTTCTATGGCGGGGAGAAGAAAGATGATTACCTTAATGTTGAAAGGACGGGTTTTGTCTCCTATTCTCAACTTGTTTCCTGGACCCGGAGAACAGTCTCGTAACAATATTATCTCTCCAGTGTTGGATGGGTTTAAGATCTAATCTCAAGGTTTGTAAGACAACCGTGTCTCCTCCGGATGGTCAAGTTGTATGAATGTTCTTGATTCCTCTAGCGACCAAATCCCAGGTTTTAGTATAGGAAAAGGAATTACTGGTCTGAAGGCTCGGAGATAAGACAGGGGTTTAGTTGCAACAGGAACTATAGAATTGGAATGCAGATCGAATAGGGAAAGGATTAGGTTTGGTATGGGAGAAGGGATTAAGGCTTGATCCTCAACGGTTTGGAGAGAAAGTGTACTATACGAAAGGTTTTTTAGTCCGGAGTCACAGGATATTTTGAAATTCTTGGCAAGAGATTTCGTAAAAGAGATTTTACTTGAATAGATAAGTTTTTGTCGGAACACAGAAACCTTGATGATAACACCAGGTTCAGAGCTCGGAGAAAACTGAACCAGGCGGAGGTTTGGTCGGAGGACCTCGGAGAATCTCGTGCAACAGTCTTGTTCCGAGCAGATCAAACAATACCCGTCCTTCCCCGGGTTCTCTCTCCTTCTAATCCGGTTTCTTTAACTCAAGATCCCTTAAACATACTTTTTCCACCTCAACATGTTCCCATTAAAAAAAAAAATGATCAAATAAAGAGAATCTAAAAAAGTATAAAGAAATATCGTACTGTAATTTTGGTACATCACCATGCGTAAATGACGAAAAAGAAGATAACTTGGTTTTCATTTGCCACATTTAATTCCACAATATGTTTTTAAAGAATTAGTTGCGTTAAAGTTTGAAGAAAATGTGGACGAATAATTAACAAACTGACATCGTAATTCCCTTCGTTTACTGAGGGGTATTCCCGATTCACAACAGTACCCTTGAAACCTTGAGACCAATAATGTCTTAATTTTTTTCGAATCTAAAAATTGCTCTGAAAGTGTTTAAAGTCAACCCGGGCTTGAAAATTGATGCAACTTTTTATAGCTGTCTGGATGTATGAGGAGGGGAAGAAAGTTTATGAAATAGTCAAATCCCCCCCCCCCCCCCACCGTTTTCAATCAGATTTTTTTTTATATGTACTTTTTTACTGTTTTCTCTATAAAACAATAAATATAAATTTATTCCAGTTTTGATCTCAAGGACTATAGAAACTATATTTTTAGTCCTTGAGATCAGAAAAGCCCTGTAAAACAACATTGAAATACGGGGTTTTATCTGTATTGAAAACTAAATACCAAGTATAATCTTCTTATAAGCATTTAATAGAATTATAGATCATCAATTTTTAAACGCCAGGCATAAAATACTTAGTTTTTTATGACATTTGGATTTAAATAAGAAATCAACCGTTACGTAGAAAAGTTAGACTGTAATTTTACCCGATGCATAGTGCCCTGCTTAAACCCTGAGCCTTAAAAAAAGATTATGGTCGGGGCTCCATAGAACATTTTGGAAATAATAATATCAGAAATGCTTTCAATTTGTGACATCGCATGTTCTCGGGTTAGGTGTTAAGTTAGGTTTAGTATTATGATGTGGTTTAAGTTGAGGTTGAGGTTGTGGTTGAGGTTTAAGTTTGGGTTTAGGTTTAGGTTTAGGTTTAGGCTTAGATTTAGGTTTAGATTTAAGTTTATATTTAGGTTTATGTTTAGGTTTAGGTTTAGGTTTAGGTTTAGGTTTAGGTTCAGGTTTAGGTTTAAGTTTAGGTTTAAGTCCAGGTTTAGATTTAGGTTTTGGTTAAAGTTTAGGTTTAGGTTTAGGTTTGGGTTTATTTTAGGTTTAAGTATTGGTTTAGGTTTAGGTTTAGGTTTAGGTTTAGGTTTAGGTTTAGGTTTAG